CGTTGCGTGCACCATTCATGCATTGACAAGGATCACCCGCAAGTGACAAACTCCATTCGTTGAACCGTTGAAAACCCAAGACAATGTGTTGGCCCAAAATCCCCTCAAAGTCCCAAGTTGTGGACTAGTATACATGGCAAGATAGTCGGGCAGTACTTTTTCGAAGGAAACAGGTAAGAATAATTGTTTATTACATTGTTTTAGGCGCTACTTAAGCAGCATCGGATTCAGAACTTATCCTGCTCCTATGCCGGCCCAAACAGCACAGGACCGATCGGTCGCATGGTTCAACCAGAACAAGGGACCTGGTGCTCGCCCAGTGAAACTTGGCAAAAATCAATTTGAAAAAGTTGGTAATTTATACAAAATTGAAACTACAAAATATCTGTTCGGAACTTATAGCACTTTCCATTTACCCTAGCTTGGGATAAATTCAACTATGAAAATCATCCCAACAGAGTTCTAATTAAAATCCCCTCGGTTTTCGTGTCCAATGATTTAGTAATATCAGGCCACAGTGGTTTGGTTAACAGGGCATTGAAAATGCAGTTCACGCAGCATGATTAGTACAATGTAGCAATTGGCAGTGCATTCAATTTTGGGAATAGAAAGTATTTCTTTTCTTCTCATAGAGTGGGACCAACATACTTTAAATACTTCATCATCGCTGCCCAACCTGGTCCTAAGACGTCAAACAAGTGAGTTTGGTGATCACTGTGGTTTTCCCCATTCGGTGAAGGTCACACCAATTGATAGGCAAGACTCATATGAGCAGCCTCATTCGACGTTGACGGTTGATTAGTTCGGTTTGCTTTTATCGTAAGTACGACAGTGACTATATCATGACTGATACACAAACCATTGATCATTGAGTGTGCTACCTGTCAACTTTTTTTTCGCCAACCCTCCGTGACAGCACAAGAGGAACCAAGCATCCATTGAAACCCAATGCCACACGCACTGAAGTCATTCGATGCCATGTCTTGATTCTGAATGTGACGCCCACACAGTGTAAGGCGGTCATAAGCACAGCAGTCGAGGTAGGCTTACGATGAACCCCGATGGTGAACATACCTACGGGACCGGATTCCTGCAGGCATAAATAGAATGAGTTAGTGCTTACTTGCATGCATTGTTGGTGATGTACTCCATGTTCCACCAGTCACGGCATGTACGTCACAGACGTATGCAGAGCGTTTTTCATGAGCCGACTGATTGACTGCTCCTCGGGAGTCCATTCTCAAAAGCCACATTTTTTCGAGAAATTCACACTTTTGTATGAGAAATCTACCAGGTGATTCACTATACCATTTTATAATTGATAAGAGGAACAATTGCTGATTTGCGAAGCCGACACTTTGAATGGAGAAACCAACGCTATGGCTTTTTCCGCTTCCGTTCAGCGCACCTCATTGGTCGTAAGTTTTTTCTGTTCCCGGATTGACCGCCCGTCTTTCCACACTTTTTTCGTGTTGAAATGAAGCGGACCTCAGTCAGGCATGTTGTCGAGCTCGCTGACAGACGTCGATTCTGTGGTACGGGCGATGTGGGTGAGACAGATGAGCTGGATCCGAATTGATAATGCTTATCGTGAAGCCTGACGCACTTTTTCGTGCACGCTACAGCTAAGGCATAACTGATTGTAGTTGATCCCATCAACGCCGCATGCCCATATATTGTTCAAGTCCTCTACAGCTATCCGGAGAACCAGCAGATTTCTCTACTTCATGCTGGTCACAGAAGCCCCGATTCCCAGGGCATTTCTCGGTTCTTTACCTTGGTAATACGCGTACACGTCTATGTGGTCATGACTCAAGAGCGATCAACGTGGTTTGTGAAACATTGACGGGTGGGGGTGGCCCGATGGTAACGTCATCAAATTATCACCCCAGGGATGTATGTTCGAATGCCACCACTACCGTCTGACTTTCCCCTTTGTGTGTTGAACGGCAGCCCTCTGATTGGCCGCTTCAACCTTCCTGAAAATTGTTGTATCTTTATATATTCAATAAAAGGAAGTAAATTGAAAAGAAAAAATTTGCCAAGGCTTGCCACAGTAACTGAGACCCGATACGAACTCAGTGATTACGGTTTAGTCCACTGCACTGTACTTTTCATTACGTACCTATGCGAATAACAGAAATTGTTGTGAGGCTTAGTTTGAATTTATTGAGATGAGTTTTGTCAATTGAGTTGTTTTCATCAATGGCCTAGCAACCACAACCAGTTATGTCTTAAGCTTGCCCCACCTATTCCTGGCTCAATAACCATTCTAACGGAAGTAAACAAAATGCAGTGGTCCGTTAAAAAGAGAAATCTTCGAAGCTAAATGCAGATAGCCATCAAAATATTGGTCCATGAAGAACATTCACAAATTACATAACACTACAGCGGTCACTTTTTTTAAATCTCGCAGTTAGGAAACAGTCTGATGGAACACGCAATGACCACAGTGGCGACTCTAAGAATGGATTTTAGTAACCTTGCGGCAGAAATGCAACGGATATGAACACCAGTCCTTCGTATATTGGATCTGTTTACAAAGACAGTTACAGTCTTTCGGGAAGACTACTCGATACATGGCAAGATATATACAAATTACTAATAACTAAGAAAGAAAATTGGGACTTTCGGCGGGTTACTTTATCGTCAGTATTACTTAAAACTTTTCAGCGAATTATAATTAATAAGGCTCTTTCCTCTCCCGTTGATCTCTTTGATTGCAATGCGTTTACCAATTGAACGTATCGCTATACGCTACATATGCGGTTGCATATTCCGTTTTATCCATGGGCGATGAAAAACACAAAACTGATCATGTTTAAATGCAATGGAAATGTTTGAGATAACCAACAAAAAGCACTGGACAGCTGTTTCGTCCTGTTTGGGACTCGTCAGCAGTGCGTACTTTACGTCCCTGTCAGGACTCGAGTCTGGTCGGGACAATCGAACAGACATTTAGTGGTTTCAATTTTGTATAAATTACCAACTTTTTTCAAATTGATTTTTGCCAAGTTTCACAAGTTTTCCGGAAGAAGCGGATGTAACAACGCTTGGTACTTGTTCATAACACAGTCTGCACGCTAAGGAGCACGAAACAATACCATACAGCCAAAAGGAGTCACCCAGATAGTTTTCTTCGAGAATTGGTATTTGAAATTCGTAATACAGACCACCAAAAAGATTGCGCGGACAACTTAAAGACTACAGACCACGGCTCTCTTACAGGTTGTACCCGTAGTACATCAGTCCGACAGTATCGTCGAGATTTGAAATGAAAAGGTGATAGATTGAGGCAGTGGCTATACGTACCAAACACGTGCTCAAGCATAACGATCACAGTAACTTCGAAGTACCTGTCACGTGATTGTAAGCTATCCGTCAAACCTGTCTCGATCAGACATCTTTGACGCATTTTACTTTCCTATTTATATCAGCGCTGGTCCGTTTCAAGGTTTGTTTCCAAAAGCACTTGGAGAAAGCTCAACGTATGCATATATTTCAAACCAATTATTCTCCCTGAGAAAACGTACACGGAAACATCATTTATTCAAGTGGTTTGCTATCAACATCTGAACCCAGGATGTTCGAAGTGTTTTACAATTGTTTTTACGTAATATCACGGCGACGGCATACCGGCAGGTGGATATGGACACTGCGCTACCTGCGTGCTTCATCTTACAATCCCCCTCCCCTTAGCGTGGTTCTCATATCAAACAGGTGACTTTGGTGATCATCGAATGTTTCTTATCGATCATCCACCAATCAAGAAGAACTAACTACTTGATGGAACCAGATGAATGAGCTTTGGATGTCCATAACCACGCACACTTCTTATGTACATATTTATCCCAGTCACAGATTACCAAACCAAAACTAGACAGTGCTGAAAATGAAATATGGACTGTCACAAACTACGTACTGTTGAGAACAAATTACTCCACCTCTGGTCCAGATTTCCTGAAATATCAAGCACCTCAGACTAATTGACGCTGCATCACAATCAGTTTTAAGTGTGTGGAATCCAAGGAAAGCTTGTGTGACAAATCGAGGGGGAACGTACTTCATGTCGGGAACGCGTATCTTATTTATTGGTGAGGTATATTTGGCTTTGTTTACCTGTGGGATGAATAATCCCCATTACTGTCAAATGGAACACAGTGTGTTACGGGAATGGAACACAGCGAGACGATTCACCGGTCTATAAGTTATCGGACTGACCCAAAAGTAGGTAAAAACAATGAGAAATATCGGAGTGTGTACTGAGATGTCGAGTGACGAAAGCCAAGTGAAACATGAAATTTACAGACCCATGTGTGCAGAACAAAACGAGGGTGAGTGAGGATGCAGTAACTGCATAACGCAAATTCGATCAGATCGATGAACAAAACCCACACCTAACTCATTGAGAGTGGATTCAATTGTCACAGTCTCAAGTTATTTTTGTCGAGAGAAACGAAGTGTAGTCTTTGATGAAAGAAGACAATCGAGTAGAAATAGCGGAATTCGCGAAGGAGAACAGAACGTCCAGCTGGCATTCTGCATGACATTGATAAGTTGTGTGTTACGATCTGACTGAACGGAGAAGATCTATGCGAAGAGATTGGCTACACACACAACTGCATCCATAAAAGGCACCATGGTAGTCTGATGCGGGTAAAGAACGAGCGAAATGCAACGAACAGATTCCATTTGATCTGGTGTATGTGAAGGGCTGTGGCAGAGAAGATGAGAGTAGGTAGGTTTAATCCTGAACGGACAGATGAGCGGTCAGACCCGAGCGTGTAAGACTTGGGTTATATCACAGTTGAGCAAGAAGCGAGAGCATTTGGATAGTCGGGACAGGGAGCATGAATCCGAAAGAAATGGAACAAGCAGAATGAAATCACGCACATGTACAACATGAATATCACTCTGCAAAGAATAACTACTTACGGGAATTTGCTCATATCACGCTGTATGATTAAAACTGAAGGACTCAAACTGCGAACAAGCATGGCTCATGTGGCCAACTCAACACTGGGGATTACAGGTTGTGGTACACTATGTGTAGCATTCCATCGTTGGATCATCGAATCCAAAGCCTCTTGAAACAGATCGTTCCAAATCTGATCAGACAACGACTTTTTGAGTTGTTGCTCTTCCGGTACATACGACAACCAACTGCTCTCATCTGCGCGTAACTCCAATTCCAATAACCGATCCAGACTCGACTTCTTGGACAACGTCCATTGCGCTAGACGAGAAAATCGTTTACCGCTGGTCAGTTTTCCGGGGAATCGACGAATATCTGTGCACTCCAATGAATTCTCAGGAACGGATGACGGCTTGTCATTGGTCGGACCTAGTACTTCCTGCACACGAGGAGACACAATCTGAGATAAATGTTCTTTGTCGACCGGCCTAATGAGAACAGGGAAAGAATAAACGATCCACTTATGATAACCAAGTATTACAGAAAGCGTACTCATGGAAATTTTGGTTATATGATATTGATTTTTTCAGCGGTCGGTTAAAAGATGTGCACTTTGTGAATTACCCCAGCACCGATTCACTAGGTTCAGATGGCATATTGGTGCGATGTAACAAATTAGATGGCCTTGCGAACTGTACGAGGTTTTCCAATCCACAGATTCCGTTATTCTGGAAAGACCAACGGAAGCAGCAATCAAACAAAGATCTGTCATAAAAAGGTTGGTGGATAACAGTTATCCCTTCATTCGACTACCCAAGAGACAAATAAATCAAGAAATCGAATTTGAGGGTCAGCTCATCGACTAAAAGACCCCAATAAACGAGCATAAGAGACTATATGGTGGAATACTCTTACTTATAAATAAGCTGGCTTCAGCTTTGGCTTCGGTTGTTGCAGCC